CCCCAGCACCCCAAGTCCTTCTATCCAGAGCTCCTCTCCACCCACTTATCACCCAGCCTGTGTTTATGTTTGGAGTTGCCCCAACCCAGGTGCAGGAATCCCACACCCCCTCGCAGGGGCAGCTTCAGCTCTGCGCTTTCCACCCACATTTCTCCTTTCTGCAGCACGAGCAGCCTGGCTCTGGCCTCTCGGCCGCAGAAGAGCCCAGGTCAGTCCCTTTCTCTTCTGGCAGCACAGATCAGCTCTGCTGTGTCCACCTCCTCCCTCCAGTCTCCCTGGCAGGACTCTATGCAGGCTGCTGCCTCACAAGCACCACCACCCTGCACACTGGCACCATCATTTGGCCACAGAGCCACAGGCAGCTCACAAGACACCAGTATCACCTGCCCTACAGATTGTGGTTCTTTGACTTAAAGAGTGAACCAAACATGTAGCCTTACAAATATTAATTAAACTTGCTTCCCCCCCCAAACAATTCCTCTAATACAGTGTTTATAAATCTATGGTGAATATTTCTCTGCTGAGCTGCTCAAAACAGAGGAGCTCAAGCCAGGCACATCTTAGAGCTGTGCAAGCAGTGAGGCTCGATGACAGGATTCTGGCATCTCACGCACGAGAAACCACATTCCCCCGGCACGTGGGGCTGTAACCGTGAGCCGCAGCACTCGGCGGGCTCCCTGCGAACAGCACCAGCGACCCTGGAGCTGCAGAAACTCTAGCAGGGACTGCTGAAACATTACTCCCTGCACAGCCTTTCAGAACAAAGCTATTTTGGGAAAAGCTGCTCTGATAATCTTACAGATCTTACATTGTACTCTAAGTTCTGTTTGATCAGTTCAATAAGGGGTTTTTTGGGGTTTTTTTTTAGTCCTACAACTCACTCTGGCTTGTTCACGCAGCTCATCCACAATTAAGCGATCGACTCTTGATGGGTTTGATGTCAGCCTTGGAATTGGAGTGTTGTTAGCACTGGAAACCTTTTTCCCTTGGAAATTCTTAGCAAGAGCTGATTCAGTCTGCAAGAAAACAAAAGAATAACTCCCTAAGAATGTAAGCTGCAAAGTGTGCTTTATTACAGAAACAAGAAAAAATACCAGATACACCATTTCTTTCCCTTAGGGTTCTGGATTTTTTTGGGTTTAAGCAGATGATGAGGATTCAGGCGTTTGGGATCTGACCATTTGGTAAGACAATCACCTGTTTGAAGTGAACAACCACTTTACTCAAAGCAATTTAACTAAAGTAATTACAACAACATCACGTGTTTCAGAAGCACTGTGTCTTCTCACACTCTGACCACAGCCTGTGCTCATTTTGCCTGTAAATAAAATGGAGGTAAGTTAGAAGTACAAGGCAAAAAAGAACGAGCAAAGAGGTTTGAATCTCATCCACAAAACTAAAATTCAATTGTTTAAGTCAGCAATTAACCTGAATTTTGTCTGGATTCCTCAAACTACAGAAAGCTTGTTTTGTTCTGTTCAAATGAAATCATCTTTTATTTAGCCATCAGAAAACTGCTTTGAAACCTGACTGCAAGATTTCCAATTTCCATCTCTCTCACCCTGTGATGTCACTCTGGAACAACGTCTAACTGGATAAATTGGGTTTAAAATTGCATTTCCTGGATGTCTTCTGGGGGTTCACATAAAGCTGCAGCCTCATTTTCTCCACACCCCCCGACCCAATTCTCAGCACGTGTCAGCTTTCACATTTCTCCGTCCAAGCCCAGACACCAACCTCCCCCCCTCAAGTCAAGCTCATTTTCTCCTCTAACCTCTCTGTTCAAAGCAAAAAATGGGTTTTGTCAGGAAACACTGGGGGGAAAAAAAGAAAATCCCATTACATCCCCTCTTAATTAAATTTATCTCAGTGGACTGGCTCACCAGAAGCTGCCAGCCACCCAGCCCAGCCCCACCACTCCCAGGTAACTCTGGCCAAGTTTCCCTCTCAGAAGTCCCAGCTCCAGATCGTTTTTGAATTTCAATACCAGCTAAACTGGTGAAATTTGAGGCAGTTTTTACACTCAACAGAAGCAGCCTGAAGCACTTCTGCTGATGATCAAAAAGGGCAACTGCTTTAAGTGGGGCTTTTTACAGAACTACCTGGTTTAGTTCAAGTCTTTTAATATTATCCTTTCTGCAGCTGCCCACTTTCCTGGGGGGAAAAAAAAGAGCCCCCTTCAAATACACCTTTGGTTTGTAACCTCAAGGGAACGGGTGGAAAGAAATCAGCGAAAGAACTAAAAGTGTAGGGCTGAAGAATTTCAATTACTTGAATTTAAATTCCACTCCCCTGCCTGAGTCCTTTCTGAAAGGACTAAAGTTGAGTCTCAATTCAACATGTAATTACTGGATTTGCTTTCAGAGTTTCCAGATGCACTGTATTTATTGTGCAATATTGCTTTAGGTGCAATATTAAACACAACATTATGCTCCCAACCAGGCTACAAACCTTCTAAATTTCTGTTTCCAGTCCCAAATATACAGGGAAGCAAACTTTTTAAATTTTGAAGTCCCATGAAGCATTTCAGTGAGAATTACCCATGACCTTGGATTGATGATGCGAGGGCTGGAGCAGCTCTGCTGTGAGGACAGGCTGAGAGAGTTGGGGCTGTTCAGCCTGGAGAAGAGAAGGCTCCGGGGAGACCTTCTAGTGGCCTCCCAGTACCTGAAGGGGCTCCAGGAAGGCTGGGGAGGGACTTTTCATAAGGGCAGGGAGTGACAGAACAAGGGGAAATGGCTTTAAGCTAAAAGAGGGGAGGTTTAGATTAGATATTAGGAAGAAGTTCTTCACTGTGAGGGTGGTGAGACAGTGTCCCAGGTTGGCCAGAGAAGCTGTGGCTGCTCCTCCCTGGAAGTGTTGAAGGCCAGGCTGGATGAGGCTTTGAGCAACCTGGTCTAGTGGAAGGTGTCCCTGCTGCTGGCAGGGGGGTTGGGACTGGATGAGCTTTAAGGTCCCTCCCAACCCAAACCAGTCTATGATTCTATGATCTCTAACTGGTCTGAGTGGGATGAGATCTACATCAAATCTGTGATATGGCATCTTAATTCATTATTTTTTTTACCTTCTTTCTTTCTTTCTCCAGAGCTCTCCACTGCTCATAACATTCTTCCAGTCTAACATGAAGCTCGCTGGCAGGCCCGCTGCGGGTTTTAACTTGTCTTTGATATCCAAACGCTGGCACAAAACTAGAAAAAGCAGCGTCGCCATAGAGCTTATCGTTAAAATAAGAGTAGAAATGTTTTAAATCCTCGTGGGAGAACAAGGGGTGAGACTCCATCAGAGGGACAATGGAGCAGCCCAAGAGCCGAGCTGATCTCAAGGGGAACGGGCTTGAACCGAGCTGCTGGTTCTGTCTCAGGTCACCCACCAAACTGCTGGAGAAGCCTGGAGCCTGCAGGCACGTCACAGGGCTGACGGCGTTACTGTCCCCGCTGCTCTGCCTGAGATTAAACTGACCCTGAGACTCCAGTAAATCCTGGTACATGGTCTGCAACAACCCATCTGCGTGTTTTTGTCCTTCCAGATCGTAATGCTCACTCGGTGGCTTCAACTGGAAACGCTGTCTGTTCATATTCTCAATGATCCCCAACTGCTGAGCCGAATAAATGTCGCAGAATCCGTTTGGCTGCTTTGATTTCTTTTCACTTAAATACTCAATGAGATTCTCTTCTCCACTCCTAACTAGTGCTTCCATGCAAGCAGCAGATCGGGCTCGTTCTGTGGCGTTGTAACCAAAATCAAGACTTGAGGAAGGATTATCTTGACAGTACTTGTGAAATAAATTACTATTTAAAAGGAAATTTGAAGATGGTAACTGAAAAAAATCATGAGAATGACCAGAACTTTTGGGAAAAGCAGGTAAACGATTACTGAGTTTCAACAAAGGGTTTGGATTCTGAAATGGGCCGGAAGCAGCGGGTTTGGCTGGAATGTTCATCCAAGGCGGCCTCACGCTGGCGCCTGCTGAAGGGTTCGCAGAGCTTGGCAACACGGGAAGCGATTTACAGAATTCAGAGTTCTGGAGATCGGACTTGGAGAACTGCTGCTTTTCCACACCATTCCCACAGTCACCGCTCCCCAGAGAAGCTGTGAAAGGTTTTAGTCCATAATCAAATTTTTTCCCCAAATCAGTGCAGAATGAAGCTTCATTTGCAAATTGTTTTTCCGACAGAAGTCCTACAGCTTCGGGAAATGTGAAGTTTTGCTGATCTGAAATATTATCTTCTATTTTTTTCTGAGTTCCTGATTTAATTTGAAATAATTTAGTATAAGGCTCTGTGTCCAGAGATGGTGCCTCAACGGTGCCATTTACTAACTTCTTATTTTCTTGGAGGCTACTATTGGTGCTCTTGTTAGGCTTTGCTTTGCCAGCATGAGAATATTCAGTGTATCTACTATAATCTGCATTTTCATTATATCTGTGAAACTGTGGAAGAAATGTTTCCGGCTGCTTCTGGTGCGACTGCACCTCTGCTGCCTTGGGACACACCTTCTCCCTTCCGTAAGGATAAGCATCGGCTCCCGAGTCTTTGGTTACATCTGAATACACAACTTGGGGTGTAAAGGTGTTTTTAATGTATGAATAGTTCTGATATGTGGAGGTTGTCTTAATATTCTCATTAGTCTGCATGTTGCAGCAGTTGGCATGATCATTCCTGGAAGGGTATGAACACTGCTCTTCCAGGTCTATGCCAGGAAACCCGGGATAACACTCCTCTGCTTTCTGCTGGGATGCAATATTATCACTTTGTAAGTACTGCTTCTCAGCAGCAGACACAGATTCGCTGCTACTATAAAAACCCTGTTGTGAGACAGCTCCAACAACTGGTCTTTTAGTTTCTGGCAACAGGTCATGGTGGTCTGTGGTTCTGGTTGTGTTCATGGCCCACACTGACTTCAAGCTGGAAGGGCAACTCCTTGAAAAACAAGAAACACACAGTTAGATTCTTACCCGTGGTGCTCCTCTTCCAAATGCAGAAACAGGTTTAAAAACCCAATTCTTCCCCCAACCATTTGTCTTGACTGATTCAACAATCACAGAATCACAGACTGGTGGGGTTGGAAGGGACCTGAGGAGATCATCCAGTCCAACCCCCCTGTCAAAGCAGGTTCCCTACATTAGGTTGCACAGGAAAGTGTCCAGGTGGGTTTGAACATCTCCAGAGATGGAGACTCCACACCCTCTCTGGGCAGTCCAACCTCTACCCACTCCTGTCATCACTGCAGTTTCCTTTAACTAGATGAGAAAAAGTGCTTCTGCCTCATCCAAACCCACCCAGGTACCTCAGGAGTACGTACAACACCTTCAAGCTGCAAGTGATGTGCACACACCACGCTATGGTCAGTCAATCCCATCGAGAGATTCACTATCTGGCACCACTGAAATACTCCTGGTTAAGCAACAAGTTGAGATAACCACACTCCCCAAACCACCCCCAGCCTTTCAAAGCCTGTCCTGGCTTCTCTCTTCATCTTGCTTATTGCTTCAGAGTGCCCGTGTTTTACGCTGGCTGACACTGCTTCCTGCAGGTAAATCAAGAGTCAGCATCTCAGCATTTTCCTTTCTTTACACTAATTACCACAGATTAACACAGGACAATCAGTCACTGATTGTAAAAGAAACTGTAACCAGACTAAGTAGAAAATGGAACTGTGCCTGGAAGTCATTACAGTCACAGCCAAACCTGGCAGCCTGAGAACAGAAATCCAACCTTAACTGTCTGAAGCAAAGGGATCAGTAAGTTCTCTTTTCATCAAGACTGACTCTCACGTTTCCCCTCACTCCACACGTAACTCACCACAAATACAGAAACCATTGCAATTCTGGGAGGAGACAGAAAGGAAGAGTGGTGCCTGGCTTGGGAACCTCGAGAACCGGGTTCCCTTTCTTACCCCTTCGACCTGGGATACTCAGATTCAGGCAGAAGGCCCTGAGCTCACCAAAGGCCTTGGGGATGCTGGATCTGAATCCTTCTCTGTCAAGTTATTGTAACTGTCTAATAGTTTCTTCTGGTGTTAGTATGTAGACATAACAAATCTGACATTTAGAGATGCAAACACTGCTTAGGTAGCACTAATATCAAGAAATATTCATTTTGCATGGCATTCTTCCCTCCTGTGAGTTCAGGAAAGCGTGAAAGAGTATGATCTGTATCTGTGTGTTCCTCCTGTGAATTGAAAGTTATTAAGAAAGGAAACTAAAGTCTAAATTCAATCTTTACCTAAAAATAAGGCCACGGCATGTATTCGAGGAGATTTATTTGAGTACAGCATTTCCACAATGCTTGTTCAGGACTTATTTAAAAAAAAAATAAAGTTAAAACTTCTGTAAAGACCAGAAATCCAGAAGCCACCAGTTACAAGTATCACAAGTGAAATATTAGACGATTAGGGGGAAGGAAGGGAAAGCATAAGGAGCACGTGGAGCTGCCAGCTGCAGATGCAAAGATGACTAACGGAGCACAGACACTGAGACCAGCCAGGGGAGTTTCTGGTTTGTCAGAGGACGAGGACACCAGCAGAGCTGGCATGGCAACACACTCACCCCTCAGCACAGTACGGCTGCGATTTGTCTTGTTCTTCCAAGATATTAGACACGAGTCCATACAAATCTGTTTCACTGCCATAGTCATTCCTTTCAGGTTGAATCCTGAAAATGAATTGCATATTAATTAAAACAGTTACTTCATGCAAAATAATTTGTAAGCTGAATTAAACAACAACAAAAAAATCCATCAACTCCTTCAGCACACAGGTTCTCTCTCTGTCAAAGGCGACTACCTGGACTTCACATTCATCTGAGAAGCAGCAGGCTGCTTAGGATCATCTCCACACGTAGACCACGGTGTATATAGAAGGGAGGAGTCCACAGGAGCTGAGTACTCTGATGGCGAAAGGGAAGAGCTGTAGGTCTGAGGTAGCTCTACATTTTCTTCATTCTGCATTTTATGTACAATAAAAACATTGATTTTAACATTAAACACATCAAATTGTCATTTCATCATTCTAGGCAGTTGTTATTTTCACCCTTGCAGCAACCAGAGCACGAGGAGGAAGCCAGCCATGTACTCTGACCCAACACCACAGGTAACTTCTGCTGGTGGCTTCTGCCCAGCGCACTTACACACAGGAGCAAAAGTTTCAGGCTAAAACGTCTGCACCAGTTTCCAGCAGACATCACTGACAGGAGTCAGGAGACATCCCCATCTCCCCAGTCATCACAGGTTATTTAAGCTACTGAAGAAAACTGCCAGCCAATTGTTTTCTGAAAGGAAAGCTCTTCTACCCAGTTGCAGTGACAAGGATTTCAACAGGACATGCTTCCTTAGCTTTTAGTAAGGGAAAAAAATAATGATGCTTTCACAGTTAAATGTTAAAGATACACGATACACTCCTTCACAGAGCAAAGCAGTCCAGCAGCTACAGACAGCAACACAGCACCAGGTTCTAATGCCCATAAGACTTTCTGCCCAACTACAGGCAGGTGAAACTTCATGTTTCAGTTCCCCACGTCTGTAAAATAATTTTTTAAGCAAAAAAAAGATGCCCAGTTGCTGGGCTGAATGATATGGAAGAAAAAAGCCACACAAGTCTTGGATAAAGTAACTAATAGGTACACTTCAGGAATACCAAAGGTACTGGGAATGAGTTTTCATTTGAGTCTTTATGGCTCTGGAAGGCAAAATGAAAAGGGAGCTGTGCTGTACTGAACTGTCCTGGCATTTTCAACTGGTCAGACTAAGAACCCCCTGCTCAGCAGGCTGGTTTATACTGGTCCATTTGGACTCTAGGGCTGTGGTGTGCCAGAGAAATATCTGCTGCAACACCTAAGCTTCTCCTTCTTACCAACTTCCCAGTTTTCCTAAAAACAGTCATTTGCTCCTCACTTTGCCTACACTTGTTTATTCTAACAGAAGAGCAAAGAACACAGTGAAATATTACTGCACTGAACACCACATATTGCTTGATCTCTCACTGTCCTTTCTGATGAACATTACGACGATGGAGATTTATCATGAATAAATCAAGCATGGTGATTTATGTTCATTGGTATAAGCAACTGTATTAAGAAATATTTGTTGACCATTTTGTTTACAAGCCACCCAAACTCTTACACAGATATAAAAAATTCATTTATAATCAACCCAACCTGTGATTTGTAGCAACCATAGAGCGAGCCAGAGCCTGTCATTACGTTACTGAAGGCATCAGTCAGCCTCCCGCCGGCTTCTGCGCTGCTCCAGCACCGACTGCCACCTCTGAACGCAACTTTAGACTGCACAGGACAAGGAAAAAAAAGTGGTAGGAGGACATAAATACACACAGACCCAGGAGCTGAAGATTTTCTACCAATGTGAACTTCTTTAACACTTTAATTTACCTGTGGATTCTGCTCCCTCTGACTTTTGAAGGAATTAGTTCTACATACTGACACTAGAACACAGATTTACCCTTAGAGAAAAGCTTAACGCAGCAAACCTCAACAAACTCGGGGGGTGTTCACAGAGGGGGTGCAGATGAAGAGGGAACCAGCACTCTCTCCTTTCACACCAGCTGAGCTGCCAAAGGGCTGAATCACCACAGAACATCAGCTACAGACGTGGGAGAACCATCATCCCTTTCACCACCACCACCACCAGAGGAGTCACTGAGCGTCCCACACACCACTAGACACCCCTCGTCCTCTCATCACTGTTCCTATTACACCACTGAGGTTACACAAATGGATATTTTCAGATTTCAGGAGCTAAAATTTTGCTATAATACACACACTGGGAGCTACAGTGGAAATCTGCCCCATTCTATAACTATGGGAGAAACAACTTCCACCTAAGAAACACCCATCACCAGCCTGGAAGTGCTCAGATAGAGCTGGCCAGTGGGAGCAGGGAATGACAACAAAACAGAGTTAGGTGTCTTTTCTTCCCTTCCTCAGAAGGTGAGGGACACAAGGAAAATTTAAAGTTAAAATAGAACTAACTAGCTAAAAAACCTTTAGCTCACAAATTATACAGTGAAGTTATTTGCATAATATTTAAAATATTGCTGTAGAAGCTCATTACAAATGCTTATTAAATTCAGAAAAAGTTCAGGTTTCCCAGGACTTGTCATTCTGGAAGTATTCTGAGTAAGCACTGCTCTCTGTAGGGATGTTCATCTACAGCCACCTGAGGATGGAAACAGCCTCCACATCTCACACACGCGGGTTACAGCACGATCTTCCTTCTAGTTCACAGTTACACTGAGGTGTTAATTAACACACCGCGTTTCCCAGGCACATTTACAACTATGTGAACACAAACCCCACAATCGGTGTGGGGCGCAGCCCCACTGCTTATACTAACCACGCCACATTTTCTCCTCCGTTATCTCCTTGTTCAGCACGGACACTTGGTACTTACATGAGTTGTGACCTCAGAGAACGAGGAACTGTAAAGCTACAGGAGCTGCTCCAGCCCCGTGACCCCCCCACA